TAAAAAGTAAAATATAAACAGAATAAACGACTAATTCAAAAGCTTCCATAAACCTCTGGCTGTGTGTCTATTTATGAAATGCATGAGATTTGGATTTTTCCGGCAAGAAAACTTTGTCCTTATTTGTCATTTTTATGGAATATAAATTTATTTTTACATAAGACAAAATTCCCCTAATCTCACAGATATTTAGACGGCGAATTATACGATAAAACATCATATTGTTCTGTAGCCAAATGCAAAGAATTATTGCGTTAAATTGTCTCAAAGTTTGTTTGCTTTTCTTGTATTTTTTGTGAAAAACATGCTTTGATGTTTCTCATTTCATTATAAACCACAGATATTTCCAAAATACCTGCATAAACGGACCTGTAATCAAGTGGCTAGTCCGTTAGTTTGAACATCACTCCAGGTACCGAGTAAAACTGCGCCGAGAATTGCTTTCCAGGCTCTCTTGACTAAGGTTTGGATAAGACTGTGTTTAGCTACGGCGCTTCCTGCCACAAAGCGGGAAGGGGAATTACAGAATAAAAACCCGGCCGTGGCTGTCAAACGATTTCATTTCAAGCTGTGAACCGCCTTCTTTCTAATTAAATGGTGGTGTTTGAGGATTCATGCAATGTTTATTCCGCTATTGACTTGAGTTGTTCGTGCGTTGGTTTGGGAAGACGAAAGCGGGATCAAGTTTCTTGATATGTCAAACTGCGTGTGTGTGACTTCGTTACTAAGACTAATCTGGAATCGCTGATTGCTTACACGGCCTAAAAGTCAAGTTGGGTCGGAGCGCAATGCAGTGAACGATTTTCAACAGTACATATAGGCCTACACAGTCCTTTAACCCACATTTGGAATACGACAAATTCCCGTGTTAATCTGCTAGCTACCAAACAATGACACTTTCTCTCTAGGAGAAAACTAATTCGTAAAGATCCACTGTCTTTTCTTTTGTCTCCACTGCGGAAAAAGAACTACTTTCACAGTTCAATAGGTCTACAACTAACATTAGGCAGTGGAATTTGCAGTGAAGGCCATCCAATATCCATTTAGTGTAGGAAAATGTTCAAAAACTTAAATCTTAAACAAGTAACTCTGTGGTAGTAATGATACGCATAATAAGACTTGTTTGGGGGGTCATGGTACTAACCAACTTTAGCTGGGCCTTGTTAAACATCCGACGTACTGACCTTCGGTGGTCGGTCAGACTGCCATGGGATTGATTGTGGGTAATTGGGCAAATAAGGACCTGCTAATGATCTCGGTATTGCGATATGGCGACAAGTGAGTCCGCTTGAAATGCAATCTGGGTGCGAATTAGATGTCAGCGAGCCCCGATACAAAGGGTGCTCAGTTTTCACCAGGATGAATTTACCACCAGATAAGATATAATTATACGCCAACCCACTGTTTGGATGGCTGTGCGTAAGCCATGGATGCCAAAGTGAAAGAAAGCAACAGACCCGAGTTCTGAGGTAGGGTTGTGAAGGATCCAGGGCCTTCGAGACTGAAACTTCCAGTCTTTATTTGGATTTCAAGCAGGATATGGTGTCCGATTGGCACGGGAAACTACGGTCTTTCCTTCATTTTCAATAGAGTATATTGACGAGATGGTGTCGAAATGGACTTAACTAGGGCGATGCAGTCAGTGACCGAGACGACGGTGTGAATAGCCGGTCCTTTATTTCACTTGATTGGTGGGAACGAGGTGGAAATGAAAAGCTGTCACTCCAAAGCAGATGGCAGTAACAAAAACATTAAGGCCTATATGCTGATCTCAGATGTTATGTCTACAAAGTCAAAGATAGATCCAATTAAAAGTTGTCATTTCAAAGCAAAGTCTTCGGCAGAAACTGGACTTTGTAAAAACATCCAAGCCAAGCTGCAACGGAAAACTCTAACATTAGACGTCAATGACCAGAGAATGGATTGAGACAAAGTGGAGGGACAAAGGGAATTACTTCCAAAGTCCAAAGTGACTGTTATCAGGAAAGGAACTGCTTCATTGGTTTGAATCACCTGGATAATTAGATCAACTTGTCATGAATTCAAAGTTTCAGGATTTAAATTTAAACGATCTTTCAAACGACATGCAGACATGAGCACGTCGCGATGTTAACCACTCATTAAGTCAAAACTCTCATGACTTTCATGTCATTATCCAAATCAAAAACTCAAGTGCTGAATTCCCCGGGTGATTATTTCCTAGAGTGAAAGAGGGCATGTTTTTTATATAACCGAGACCGAGAGTCTGTAACGGCGAAGGGACGGGGACAAACGCCGCCTTAACGCTTCGCGCCACGATAATTGGCGGCAGCTCGAGACATACCTAACTATTGCCACGTGTGGTGGTGTAGGAGTTTCCGTACAGGGGAAAGGCACCTTGAAAACCCTCTAGGTGCTACTAGCATACATATGCTGTGTACGACGTGGTGATGATAGCTACCATATAGCCACCGCCTACAATCAAAGACTTCTCATTTCCTTGGTTTCTCTTTTCGTCGGCATTTTCATTGGGTTTATGAGGTTTTATAACGGTTCACTCAGATTTATAATTTCACTTCCACGTGACTGAGTTCTTTTTTTTTGCAAAGTCAATTCAGATTTACATGAATCTGCTACGACAAAACTTCAGGAACAGAGGTTTGAGCTGTTCTTCGTTATAGTTTCGAACTCTAGTCTTAAACTCTACACTCCACTTGATTGCATGGGATAAAAAATGATTTATTTCTTCAGATATTAAGTGAAATGTGATACGAATTAAAGATATTGTGACTTCTGGGATTTGAATTTGTTCGGCTGCAAAATATCCAGAGTGAATCGGTATTAGTGCTGAATTCTCGGAATGACCAGAGGTTTACTGTGCTCGTTAAATTCTTTTACTGATTAAATCCTAGTTTTTAGGACTTGCTTTCTCTTCACGTTGTAAATGCAATCCCTGTCAAATCGAACTCGTGTAGAAAAATTCTCTTTGACTCTTTCACGTTAGCGTAGTACCTATCAGTGATGATTCCTGCTTCTGGTCTGCCTTCACAATAAATGAGATACGTGTTTTCACGCATTTTGTAAATGAGCCCAATCTATTCAATTAGCCCTTTCTTCTGGAAAATTGGGCTTGGAAACCCTATTGACACCTCATTTCTTTGGGAACGATTCAAAGATGCAAAACACCCGTGCTTTGTTATATGTTTCCGGGGATAGCTGTTTTGTGACGTCCCGCAAGTGGAAAAAGAGTTGATCGTTGGTAAGTCATTAGTATTCGTCTGATGTTGCCGTTCGTAATTGTCTCGCTGATGGTGACACCCAAACCAAAGAAAGAAAGTGGAGAAACACCGCGCAGTGGCACGCCCGAAAAGGCCAGGGGGTCTTATTTAGGGGGTCTTCAGTTAAGAAAGGGGCAATTTCAGGGCTAACTGTTGCAGGCCTTAAGCCGTCGGCGGGTCGGCGTGTGATGTGGTGATATCATGGCTAAGATGGGATATTGCTTGTTTTGTCTGCGAATTGGCGTTTTCAGTTCTGGGGATAATGCCTTTTTATCACCCCCTTGAAAATCAGCTTGTTATAATTGGCTTGTGTGCGCATAACAGTGGGGTGCGTGAAGGAGGTGCTACCGGGGTGCCAGCCCCGAGTGGTTGCACAGAAGGACTGGGGTAAATAGGATTACGACTATCAATTACACTAGTGTTTGCACGGGCCCAGGCTGCTGGGCCTAAATCCCCCTTGCAACAACACTCAGTGAGCTCTGATACATAGAGAGACACGCACGCCACTTCCCCAACCTCTCTTTTCCTTATTAGTATTCATGAGGCAATTCGCTTTGTGGATTGCCGGTCAGTTTCCCCCTTATTGTCTGCGTTGCCTTAATTCCCAGTATGCATTGATTCCAAAGTAATTGCCTCTTTTTCAATATTTAATGAATTTATGTATCCTTCGCGTCCGGCCTGCCAGGCCGGCGGAGATCACTGTGTTGTAAGGCCCTTTCGTGCCGACGGAACGGGAGCTTTTAGCGTGATTTGCTGATTGCTAGTGGGGGGAAAAATAACACGGTCTCGGCAGATGCCATCAAAAGAATTACGCCTTCTCCTGTGAATAATTGCTTTTCGTAAAATTAAAAGCGAGGCGAAAGTCAATTGGATAAACGCTCTAAAAACAATTATATTGATTTCTCGGGAATTCTGACACTCTATGTATAGTGAAAGGGGCCTTTTATGCCTACTACACATGAGGACAGTGCTGGATACCTCACGCCTTACGCCTACTCGTGGAGTGTTAATGAAAAAAAAAGCGGGGAAGTGTTTTGTCACATCTCATGCTCCGGTGACTTAGCACAATATGGCATGATCTAATGGTTTGATGACGACATATCACGGTCTCATTGCATTCCCCATAAAATGCAAACTGGTGTTAAATCTCTCTGTTCTTTTTTGATGACTGCAGTCTGCAGTTTTTCCATCGTTCCATTTCCCCCGATGGCCAACTCCAGTGTCGGACCTTTTCCTTTAAAGGCCGTACAATAAACACAGTTAACTTTGTCTTTCGCTCTAGGAAATGCCCCCATAACGCTGTCTGCCAATTCTCTAACAGCCTGTCGGCTTCACACTTTTGATCTCCAACCAACTCACAGAAAAACATGTCCATTTATGACTCGATTATTTTGGAAAGAAAGTAGTGCGGATTAAACGGCAAGATAGGGATAGGCGCGGAAGTCTGGCTTTGGGAACGGGCAACTGTGTAAATGCATTTGATCGAGCGGAAAGTCCGCGATTGTAAAACCGGGTGAGCTCTTTCACCGCCGTGTTTAGCAAGCTAATTGCTGGCGGTGAGTGGGGTCAACAGCCACAGCAGCTCCCCTGTGACACTGCTTAATTTGCCAACCAATTAAAACGATCGCCGCTAATGACTAAACCGAATTATGCGAGGCGAGCCATTGAATTTCCCAAGTCCCCGCCTACTCCGCGTTATTACGCATGCGGGTTGGTCTCTCACTCATTATTTCGAAGGTCTCGTGTCGCGTTATCCACAAGAGCTAAGTAGGACTAGGCCACCATCTGCACGTGTACAGTGCTTCTTGTGTTGTCAACGTCTCAAGCAACGGATTCGGTCGGAGACACCTGAGCTTACCTAATGCCCGCGGAATCCACTCGTGCTCACTGCAAACTGCCATCTCTTGCAAAAAAAATCATAAACCGAATCATCTCAAAGCTAAAATTTGAACAGCGTATCGAATCATCACACTGGACGGCAAAGGGCTGTGTTATAAACGTTGTCTGAAATCTTAGGGCGATGATTCAGAGGCTAGCAGGCGAAGCTGCACCTCCGTTAGCGGAGACCCCGTCTTGTCTAGACCCTCTGACACACCAGCAGACGATGGATGCATCAGAGGTGGGCCAAATGGGCCTGCTGATCAGCCACGGACCATCTGCTCAACCCACAGGTACCGATCGAGAACATGTGCTCACTGACTCGGAGGACTTGTCTTCGACGGTGCGTTCCCGTTCGCCTGGCTCTTGTGCAGAGATTGATCGTCGAGTTTTGTCGCCGTCGACATCCCCGAACTTGAGCCAACACCAACGCGCCCATCATCACCAGAATCAAAATCACCACCAGCACCCGGAAAGGAATATGGCACCGGCCCTAGCACTCAACAGACCCGTGAAACTCACCGCGTTTTCTGTGGCTGACATTCTCAACCCAAACAAATTCAACGGCCCGGCCTCCAAGTTGCCCCGGCCGTGTGATTACAATGATGACCACGCCGTCCCGGAACACTGTCATCACCGGACCAGCTCTGCGTCCCCCGCAGCACCGCCGTCATCACCGCAAAGTGTAAGCAGTTATCCATGGTCTTCAGCGTGGGTTAGTGCAGATAAACACTGCAACGGAGAAAACAAGGTTTCCGGTAATTCTGGTGAGTATGGTCAATTGTGCCTAGAGATGCGTTAATTTGGAGAGGCAAAGAGGTCATGCTCGCATTTGTGATGTACATTTGCATTGCACATGACATAGTTACGTTGACCGACCGAAATTAACGCATGATTCGATCTTGTGATTGTGGTGTCTGTGCATGTCCACCACTCAGTGTGAATTAGCACAAAAGTGTTAATGATGAACGTTGTGCGTTCGTCAATCAGAATTGATTTTTGATTGATATTGATGTGTGCCAACTTAATAATGGGTTTCATATAATGAGTGCGATGATGATAATGCCACACATCTGGTGATCACATTTTCGCAGTCATGCGAGTCCACCTGCTAATCATTGTCATCCACGATAAGCTTGTTCTCCCCAATCTAATTATCACTGTCTCTGATGACCGGTCTTCTGTGGGTTATAAAGACAAGGGGGAGATTTTTTTTTAATTGGCACTTTGCCGCACTTCGAGATTTAATAGCATCAGCCGTCAAGGGAAATGGACGGTATATGCTTCAAACAAGCCCGCCGGTAACCCAGTTGGCTCAAGCGGCTTCACAAGTAAAATGGTAATATTGATTACATGTGTGGTAGGTAAACGAAACGTGTGTGAAACTCTTTATGTCCGCCGAACGTAGAAGTGTATGTCCTATTGTTGTTGCTTTCAAAGGCAAAAGGAATAAAAATTTAGTGAAAATGGAAGATTTATATCCCAGTCACCACCCAGAAAGCTTTAAGCATGACAGAAATCGAACATAATTTGGACAGTTTACATGTAAATGTAAAGCAGGTCAAGACGAACGTTTCTGATGATAACAGACATTGCATAATCTGGTGTTTTGTTGGACAGCTTCTTTAGTCTAAAAAGAGTCGATAATATTAAGCCTCAGTGTAGAACTAAGGATGAAAAAAAAGTTTTTATTTCTGGAATATACAGAGCAGAAGATCTTAATATACCGCTCGTTTGGGTATTCATAAAAAGAAAATTCAGACTCAGTTGTTGGAATAATTGAATCACCCGAAGAGTACGAGTTCATTTATCTATTTATGTTTTTAATTGGGTAGCGTTTTGAGCAAGTGCTATATCGACCGTGTTCCAACATCGATGCTGACTTTAACCCTTCATAGGGCTAGGAAGCTGACTTAAACCCTTCATAGGGCTAGGAAGCTGACTTTAACCCTTCATAGGGCTAGGAAGCTGACTTTAACCCTTCATAGGGCTAGAAAGCCCTCCCTCTCCATCCGATCGGAACCTCTGGTGCCATCCTAAGCGCCATAGGACCCGATAGGATTTCAAACTAATGATTCACAAGTCACGGCTGAGCTACAGCCCAAATGGAAACTTCCAAAAATCCCACAGCGCGCATTTCCACGAGTTCGTAAGCGTTGACTGACGACGTAATTCGGCCTTAAGGGGCCGCCTTTTGGTAGGTTGCGGCATGCTTGAGGTAACTTTCACCCGTTAGGGATTAATGACACGATATTTTGAAATTGCGGACATATCTCGTTGTAAAAAAAATGGGGGGCAACTCAGTTTTACAGTTTCACCCGCAAAATCAGTCTTTACTTATGTATGTAGGCTACACAATGCATGGACCATGAAAAAATCCCGATTTATCGCCACAGAAAGCCAGCCACATCTGCGAGCATTTTGGTTTGTATATCGTTGCTATAAGAAAGCAACAATTAATTTTGTAAGAAAAAATTCACGTCTTAAAGCCTAAAGGGGAAGAGGAAACTACATGTAGGACTATATTCATTTTACTCATTTTACCGTAATTATTAAGCGCGTGATAAATGGAAAATCAAACTGGTACACACCTTTGCGGAGTTTTGCATTATATTTTCCTGATTTTACTCAGTAACAATGCCTTGATTGCGATGGAGATTTCCTTTTTTTTGTTATTTTGCCTTACTCTCACCAGTATTGTTGATGGTTTCAGTCATCGCTTATTCGTAAGACTATATAATTTATCATACGCTGTTCAACCCTTTTTCTGCAAGATTATTCCTAAGCGCGTCTGATTAAGAAAATGTAAAACACCAAACCTGATGCGAACTGTTTACGACTTGACTGACCTGAAATACGCAATTCTGTACAGTTAGAGGGCTCGACATTGAACGCCCTTTAACACTTTTTGAATACTTTTCTGCTGAAAGTTGTTCATTTGGGAGAGTCAGGAATCGCCCATTTTAGGCTACTAACTACGCTTACTTCTTTGCTGCAATTAAGATTGACCTTTAAAAATCGATTTCAAAAATACGTTATGAATTAGCCTGTTTTACAAAAGAACGATACACGGCACCAACTTCAATGCATGAACAAAAACCGCAGCGTGGAATCTTTGTCAAGTCTCCCGAAATACGTATTTTACGTGGGAATTAGCTCTTGTTTGGCATGTATTGCCACTTGCCAGTTAAGCACAGCAACATGTGCCCAATGAATTTCACGCAGCCTTGTGAAATTTTTGGAATTGTTGATGTCCGTTTTTGATGATGATGATGGTGTAAACCTGCCTAGCCTGGTGACTCAGCCAAGCTGTTTGAAAAAACAGCACCCTAATAGCTGCGGCGGGTGAGTCAAAGGCAACTCGCCGATAGCTCTGTGTGCTCAGGTAGCCCTGGGTCCCTGGAAGCCGCCTATGATCTTTCAATCGTTTGCTTGTCACCCAATTACGGACCACACGGCAAATTCTCAGCGGTTGGCGTATGAACTGGGAAGGGGCTTTAGTGGCTCGCCACTGGGCTGTCGTCCAGGCTGTCAGCGGTTATATCACTGGAAATAAACTACGTTTTTAGTTAGCCTTAGGCCTGAAAGAAACACAATGCGAGGATTATTGTGGAAAGTAGTATTTTCTTATCAGACTTAAAATTCCAAAATCTTGTTAGTCTTGTGTTTATTTCTTTTAGTCTTAGTAAAATTAACTAAAAAGAATAGCATCAGTGGGGAATTAATGGGGATTGGTCACACACTGGTGGGTTTGCTAGAGCAATAGGGGAGATTGTTATCTCAGAGCCAAATCGTTTCAATATTTCAATTGACGTGCAACTTTATTTGTGAAATTGACACGGTAAGAAAGATCTGTCGCCACAAGTTATTGTGGTTGAATCATAACTGAGCGGCGATGTCAGTAAAGCATACTTTCCTCCACACAAGTGTACATGTACATTAGTACTTCCACATCGTTATCATTTTTTTTTAGAAATTATAGTCTTATTGGTCAGTGTATTATTTCTTTTGTAGAATCAGACCAATCTCACGGAGAAGAACCCAACTACGAACGGGTTACAGCGAAAGATGATATATTTCGGGAGAGTATGGACAGCGAGGAAGATCAGGGATCCATTGATAACGACGACGACATCGCATCAGACGATCGAGACAAGGTGGACAGCGATGACAGTGACGCCAAGTCTGACGGCTCACCGGGGAAAAAGCGTAAGCGGTCGGACTCGGATCCGGGTAAGGCTGGCAAGCCCCGCCGGGCCCGCACGGCATTCACTTACGAACAACTGGTAGCCTTAGAGAACAAATTTAAGAGTACAAGGTATCTGTCCGTATGCGAGCGGCTCAATCTGGCGTTGTCCCTCAGTCTCACCGAAACACAGGTCAAAATCTGGTTTCAGAACCGCCGCACCAAGTGGAAAAAACAGAATCCAGGGATGGATCCGAATGCCCCCACCAACAACCCTCAGTCGCCGCCACCCCATCATGTCGGCTTACACACTACCTACAATTCGGGACTGGTGTACGGGTCACAGCTACCCTACCTGCACGGTGCTTCAGGGGCTATGTCTTACCTTGTCAGTTCTCCGGCTTATCCAGGCCTTCACGCCCACCACTTCTACTCACACCTTGGCCACGTTTGATGTCTCTTACCTGGCGAGTAATCTAAACTCTATAAATGTGATTTACTTTTGATTATGTACATAGTGCAGAAATTGTATTGCCATTGAAAGTGTAAAATTAATTATTATTATCTCAAATCAAAACCGTAACCCCAAAATGGCATACTAAACACCCACTTTTAACCGATATCCGAACCCAACCACACTTGTGAAATAAATATTCTGGTCTTCCCGCAAATGGGACAGCAACCATTCTTTGCAGCGTGCAAAGACGATTCTGAGTAAAACAATTTTTTTACAGGGGTGCAATGGTGCAATAGCTTAATAGCATTTCTAAACTGTTGTGTAGCTACACAGTTGGTGTACTGGAATGGGATTCTTACACAGTTTTTACTGAATGTTTTTTAACTGAACTAGTTGGGCATTTGTGATCCCAATGACCTGCATTAACAGCGGTAAATTTTGAACATTGTGACCTGACATGTTCGCCATCCAACTTATCGATGGTTCAAACTTTGAAGGGGGTGAATAGTTTTACATGTACATGACTACTGGACTCCACACGAATTTGGAAATTTACATGTACAATGTATGGAGTTAACATGTTTGAAAGCATACTTGCAAACTGCCTGTCGCAGGGTTGTTTCTTTTGATGATGGTGAATTGTAACAATATCTGATTTTCAATCAGCCCAGATTCCGAATACCAAAGCCTTTACGGTACGGCTCCTTATGGTGGGTGAAATCATACGACACAGAAGTGAATTTGCACATGGTCTCACAGATTAAACGGAAAGTTTGCGCGACATCTCCATTGAATATGAAAGTCTGGGTGGGGAGCAGTGGCCGTAGACTTGTTTGAAGGTGCCAAGAGTTTCCTTGATTGTTATTCGACTGAATTTCACCAAAATTATGCATAGCTTCCTGTAACGTTATTTTTTGTTGTTATACAAATGAATTTTGTTCGCCGAGTTCTCCTTACAATATATCGGTTTTGTAAAGTGCATTTTGCACTCCCATGTAGCAAAAGAAACGTAATTAACATAAAGTAAAAGTTTAAAAACTCCGAAACGGGTGGAACTCTGTAGAAGTAAAACTTCGTCGAATGAAACCCCATAAAATGAGAAGGCATCTGCTACCTACAAGGAGTAGCAACAGGTTTTCAAATTGTTTGACGCCGGATAGTTCTGAATATTCCGTATCCAATCTTTTTTAAAAGTCAACTCGATGAATTCAGATCTACTTGAAACACCATCATTTTTATGCAGCACGGCTTTTGGTTGCATTATTCCTTACCAACAGCCCATGTGTTTGTGTTCATGGTCATTTTCATGTTCAAATGTTAAGAGTATACCTTCTACCTGGATATTTTGTGTACTCAAACTGTAGCCTGTATTCAATCGCAATTCATCTCATCTTTATTCACAGTGTTGCAGTAGTAGTCCCATATTTGAAATTTCCTGTATATGTATCATTTGTATGTACATGTATGTAAATAATGAATTAACACTTCCCCTGACTCGTGCAAATGATGTTTTGTATTATGAACAAATTAAAAGATTATAAACTATGCCATCCTTAAACCATCCTTATGTATATGTTTCTATTCTTTCTTTTTTGTTGAAACTGATATCAGTCTGGGGCATTTCCAAACTGTGATATGATAGGCATTTCGATTTACAAAAAAGTTTTCGCAGTTTCTTCGATGTTTCTTGACGAGTTTACCAATAATAAAAAAAACATGAGAAAGCATAGAAAGGGCCAGAAGCCTTCGTTATTTGATTGACGTTATTGGTCGTCCAGTTGATTATGGAATATACTGTTTTGGGGAATCAACAAAACGATTTTTGAATACATATAGTCAAATATCGGTTAGATATTGGTTAGATAGTCAATCGGTTAGATTTAGCCGATGTATATATACATGTAGATATGATTGCAGGTGCTAGTTGCTGGCATCACGTAGGCTAATTTAGGCAGACATCCTATTGTTACTTTATTATAACATGATACAATGTCACAAAAGGGCTGACCTGTGTGGAGCAACCAGGCTAGGGGGGACTGTCCGGGCTGAAAGGAAACAGTAACACGGTAGTTTGACTCAGTGACTGCTACCACAGGCGATATGGAAGGTAACTTTACCTTAAACGCCCAGAGTTGTACGTGTTATCAAAACTGCCTTGTGATAAAGCGGCAAATCATTGTACATGTTTGATGGAGGCCAGTCCTTTTTACGTGCCTCTCTGAACAACCGCTGTGGGCAAATAAGTGTCAGAAGAAGCATCAATGTCATCAGAATTCTGATACAACTGTATAGGCCTATTGCACGAAATGATTTGCAGGCATTCCGTAAGATACTGCCAAACCCCAGGATTGCAATGAACAGCAAGCACATGTAGTATCCGACCTCCCTTCTCTGTCATTGAAGTACACATACATATCTTGAAAACTAGGAGAGATTTATTGCTTTTAAAGTGTACATTAATGTATCTACAAATGCGCTCAAATACAGAGAGATCGTTAAGCGGGTGGAGAGAATAATAGAGGCCGGGGTAAGTCTTTACTTTTTCGAGGGGTCCCATCTATGGTCCTCGCCCAAATTTTTCTAAGGATAGGGCAAAGCCTCGTCACCAGCAACTTTACGAACCAATAGCTCTGCAATGGGTCAATTCCGAAGAAAATTCGAGAAAATGGTGATTTCCAACCCCTTCCTTCCTTTTCTTCTTCCCCTTATTTTTTTCCGGGGGGCGCACCCCGTCACGACGCTATCTGAACTACCAAAAATGCATCCCACCTTTCTTCATGGGTCAGAAAAAGTCGAAAAGTTGTGATTACATAAACTTTAGGAAAAAAGGAACATTAGACTGCAAGTCAAAAATAGTAACGTCGTGGCTTTAACATGATGCCGACTACCTTGTCTTTTCCCTTTCAAGGTACGCTCTGTGAGCGCATAGCTCTAATAAACAGTACGGCACACTCGGTTTTAGCCGAAACCAACAGCCGTCATAGGAGAAAACCAGAAACAATGCCTTGGGTTCCGCATGTGACTGAGCATTCATTCGTATTTTGGGTAAGAAGGGCTTCTTTACCCCACTGCGAGGAGCACGCCTGACAGACAATATGGGTCCCAGTAACCGAGCATTCAGCTCCTGTGGGACGCTTGGTGTTTGTAATGGCGTGGCAGGGATAGCGGGCGGCGCCTCGTATACACGCACACAGGCCGTCCAGGCTTGTCAGGCAGACTAGGGGTAAAATCTTCCGTTGGCTCGCCGGCCATTAGGAGACGTGTTTTCCTTTGTGCATCCACTCATGCGGCGTAATTGCTAAATGGGAAAAATTGGACCAGAGAGTGAGAAAAAATACACGCTTTGGCTGTTGATCACGTCAACTATGATTGCTTAACGGAGTAAAAACGAACTAAAGATGTCTTGAGCAGTGAATTAGGTTAGATTAATACAACCTGCAGCTGAGCAGGCAAGCATGTCGATTCGGTTAAAACTACCCACCTTAATGGTGTAATGAATAATGATAAGAAGGGAATTCGCAATGTCCAATTCAGTCAAATGCAATCACTCATGCTTCACAATAGCTTTATATTGTCTGAACTCTGAAGCGATGATGAAGTTGGCGAGTCTGGGTGGAAAATGGTTACCTTTCTGAAGCTAGTCAGATATTAAGAAAATGTATACTGTACTCGTATTTGGATACACGTAAAGTTGTCACTTCTTGATCAACCAACGTCACTCAGTCAAAGCCTCAAAGTCCTTCTGTGTTATGAACTTATGAGTGTCAATCTATTTGGGAAGACCATGTCTCCTACAGGAAGTGATGAAATAATGAATCGAGGAATATACAGGAAAGAATACTGGAAGTGAAAACCTACCGAAATCGACAATGCTGTTTATATTTATTCATCAAGATGTTTGTCAAAAGGAGGAGACAAAAAGGGTAACATTTTACCTGGAGACTATACAGAGGACCGCATGCCAATTATGATAAAGCCATTGAATCGAGATTGTACGCGGCAGCAGGAATATGTAACTCTTGCAACTATAATTTCACAAGTATCCCTTATGATATACATGTATGTATCCTCCCTTTGTGCTATAAGGAGTAAGGACATAACTTATACCAAGGAGTAGAGAAAATCTCATTTCAAGGAAGTCAATGCGCATGCATCTTGTTTTTTCAAACCCACCATTGTACTTTCCCCAACTGATCGCGCAGGATTCACCTGTCGTAGACCAGTTACACACTTTACTTCGCACTACATGTACCTTGCAATTCTGTACTTGTTTGATCACCTTCGATCTCAAAGCACAACCGTCTCTGGTCCCCGACCTCTTCCTGTATCTAGTATGAGTTAAGCCGCCATATTCGACAAATATCTGGGGCCCTACACTGGCGCCCCCTGACAATGGTGAGAATTTACGACGCGGGACTGATTAAGTGGTGTAATATGGGGCGGGTATGTGTATGCTGTGCTATTTGGTGATCTGCGTTATCAAGGGCAAAGCTTGGGCCTTTTTCAGCAAAAACTGAATTAGCTCTTAGGTGTGGTTACAAACAACTGAGGTGGTTGTTTTATTTAGCAGAATGTTACATTGGGGTTCCACTGAAGTGACAATTACTGATGGTAACCTGCCCACAGTTTGACAACAAAGTACAATAAGTCTGAGGTAAAGCATTCCTTATGTCATTCCGCTTTTGTAAATTGAAAATTGTTCGCATGACATTGAAAAAGATGCTTCTGGTAATTGGTAATAAGGTGAAAACAGTTTTTCGGGTCTTCCTCACGTATTAGTTTACACGATTTTCTTTCTTGTTTAGGCAACCGTTCAGAAAGCCAGGTTCATGTAAGTTTGTATAATGGCTCTAGATCCGTGAAAGAAAATTTCAGATCTATTTTCATCTCATAACATGTATTAACAGAATTTTTCACTTTAATTTAGTTTATTTATTTCCATATCTTATATAAACTATTCACATGAATTTAGTATCAAAAAAACAGAAATAATATGAGGAGTCCAGATAAGAAGCAAATGCTTATACGAGATCTGGACCTGTTTCTAATTATTTAAATAAAAGGCTATTAAGTAGGGCCTATTACAAGATCAGAAACAGAATGAATTGTCCATGTTTGCATCAATAATCCTGTTTCATATTGACTAAATAAGTGTCTACGATAATAACTACAAGGGATGGAGTAAACTACTCAAATAAAAAATAATAAGAAAAAGGAAAACTAACCGAATGACAAACGATAGCGGAACATTTGAGAAAGAAACTTAAAAAAGGAAGTGGCCAGAGATAATAATAATGATACATTTTGGACAGTATGTTGAATGGCAAAAGTGACAACGTTATCTAATTATCAGAATAATGTGACAACAGCAACGTTTTAATGTACTTGTTGAAAAGTTCCAGTGACCTAAAAGTAGGCATTGGTTTGAGATGGTTCTATAGAAGAGGCCCTTGATTTCTGACAGTGGAAAACTAAAGAGGTGTTCGTGCTTAGTAGAGGTATTGCGGCTGATCTTGTATTATGAGAATGAATATATGAGTTTTTGTTAATTATTGAACATAATTAAGGGAAGATTTTTCGTTTGAAAATTTATACATCAATACACCGAGGTGGTAGGCCTATATGTATAAATCAAAGACTGACAAGGTTTTATATTTACTAAGCAACTGTGCAGAATGTTCTGTGGATCTAGAATTATTAAAAACTCTTAATGTTTTCTTTTGCATTATATACAATTTATTAATATAGGAGGGGAACGTGTTACCCCATGCTAAAAACCCCACTGAAGGTGTGACAAGGAGAAGGTATTATGAATTAAGAATAAGATATCTGAAGGTAAGTCATGTTTTGATTATCTTAGGATGCCTTGGTTCTGAGAAAGTGACATGAGGCCCTTTTGGCAACGTAGCTTCCAAGAAAGTTTATTATCAATAATTACACCTAAAAATTTACAGGTATCAACTTTTTCTATTTGAGTATTATTTAAGTAAGCAGTGATATTCCTAGTAACCTTAAAATTAGAAAACAACAGACATTTGGTTTTGTTTAAGTTAATGGATAATTTATTACATTTAAGCCGGTTAATAATGTCAGTTGCCTGTTATGAAACACCTCAGTGTCACCCGCAAATAAAATAAAACAGAGTAAACTCGATGAGTTACAGATACGAGTATCATTAATGTAAATCAGAAAAAGTATAGGACCGAGTCTTGAGGCTTGAGAGACTCCACATCTGATTGATGCAAACGAAGAGGTGGTGTTCTGTCATACTACATACTGTTTCCTATCGCTTACCGTATATAATTTTGAACCACTCCAGAGCGACTCTTCTAATTCCATATTGATTTAGTTTACTAATCAGTTCAGGGCCCACATTTTTGCTATTGTTCAGAATTTTAAACAGAACCAGATTTCGTCAGATTTAAGTTGGAGGAATTGAAAACATTTCAGAGGTGGGGAAAGGGCTTCAGTGTCAGGTGAAGATCAGTTGAACGACTTGGGGATGGTGATGAATTAAGACAGGCTTGGATGTGTCAACTTTTATCCCTTTGTCACTGCTGGGGATCAAAGGGGTAGAAAAAACACCCAGGCCTTCCTCCATTCATCACCTTCATCCCCTCCGTCGACAATCCGATATGCATTCTCATAGTTTACAGAATTGCACTCTCTATGGCAACACATGTAACAAACAACAGCACTTTGAGAAAGATTAAGCTCGCTATTGAGCTATTTTCATGTGGGGA